TTAAAGCATAGAACTCTGAAGCTACCCACAGCTAGTGTAGCACAGGTTCCATCCCAGCCAGGGAGGTGACCCACATGGCGTGGCAGACCTCTCCTGACCTACCCACTGCTCCTCTCAGTAGTGTTCTTCATCCATCTGCCTGTTCTGCAACCCACTCTGACTCTGTCAAATCCTTTCACCCTCCATGCCTCTGCCTGCACCCCAGCTTTTATATTCATACATAAAGACATCTTTAAGAAAACATTTTCATTTCATATTAGAACTCTTTCTGATATTCATTTATTCAAGTCCTTGACCTTACACAGAATATCATGCAGAGGCAGTATCTTTTTGTGAATTTTATAATGTGTTAAGAATTGAAGGATTTCTTGATTTTCATGGAAGAGAGTCACAGATATACCCTTTATACATTATGGTGCTTTTAAAAGTTGTGTTCCACCAGGGTGATCAGTATCACTGTAGAAATTGTTTTCAAAGCAAATTCTCCAGGCCCATCTGCAAGGGAGGTCAAGGAACCAGATTTAAAGAATATTACAAAAGATTGTTTTGTAGGCTGACATTTGAAAACTGGCTATCAAAGGTTGGCAGTTACCCTGAATATATGTTATTTCAAGCACTTTATTTAAGCTCATTCTCCTAGAAGTGTCATGAAAAACAAGACTTCTTTGTGGAAATTAATTATAGATTTGGCCTACATATAAGGTCCCCAAAGGGAACAGACTGTTAGTGAAAAATCACAGTTTTGTCACTTGGAAATTTTTTCGATGACAATTAGAGTTTGGAAATTTCCTACTATCCTACATAAAAGAGAGTGAATAAAACACATAGTCAAAGGTGAACTGCCGAAGTGTGCATATTTATACACACACATAATACAAAATGTTTTCTGCATTTCAGGTCCAAACTGCTTTGCAGAAACGGCTGTCATCCCCGCGGGCAGAGAAGTGAAGACAGACGAGTGCACCATTTGCCACTGTACCTACGAGGAGGGCACGTGGAGGATTGAGCGCCAGGCCATGTGCACCCGGCACGAGTGCAGGCAGATGTAGGCTGGGCCACACAGAGACGCTGCCTTTCTTTTCTAGGATATTTTACTGACTAGAACACTCTAAATGACTTTGGAAAATATCAGAAAGAGAAGACTTTGGATGAATGAGGAGTTATGGAAAACTGTTGATACTTTTGCTCTTCTTGGTAACAATTACTCCAAGAGAAATGGATACATTTCAAAACATCAACAAGAACTTTGAGCATAAAATCCCTCTCTAAATAAATGTGCTATTTTCACAGTAAGTACACTAAAGTATACTATTATATATGAAATGTATTTCTATAATCCCTCTACTAGAGAGCTGATATAAATGTTTTCTATAGATACAGATTAAAAATGCTGTGTTGTCAAACATCCTCAGTGTGTACCTGCAGATCATTTTCAGTTCTAATTCCATCACACAGGACTGCTTGTGGTTGTTGATTTTCCTTCAAATCTCGAGACAGTGCATCATTAATTGGCCATAAGATCTCTAGTGCAATACTATCTAAATTCTGTTCCTCTAAGTGTTTGTCCTTAGAAGTTCCAGTCTTGTTCACATAAATGTTTCTTTACATAAAAGCCTACTGTTTTTTATCATCTCTATTCTCAGTCACTAGAGAAATGAGTGTACCTCTATAACCAAAATACACTTTTTTCCTCTTCATTCAATGCTCTCAGGTTGTGGGACATAGATAATTGCATACATCTATTTCAGTTGAATTACTAATTCACTTGAATTACTTTCTCTTCTAAATATGACTTTAAATCATCCCCTAAGTTGAGAAAAGAATAACCTAGACAATTTTCATTATTGCTTGATCACAATGAAGCTTGCAGTAAAAGAAGAGAATCCTTCAGTTCTCTGGAGGAATGCTAAGGAAACTAGAACTTTCAAATCTGCACCCTAAATGTGGCTCCGATCCTCCAGCACTTGCTCGGGGGATGCATGTTTCTCAGTGAAATAATCTTAGATCCTCCTCGATAGACCTGGAAAATCTCAAGTGATAACCCCACTCTGTCACCCTTCAAGAGCAGATAAGGGAGTTCTTTCCAATTACAAACAATATGCTAACGGCCATGTGCACACTATACCTTATAGAAAATTCTATACTGACTCCATTTCTCTTCATTTGCACAGGGAAGAAGTCACTGCAAGTCCTGCTGACTGATCAATGCATAGTAAAGAATATTTCTTCCTTTTCCAATCACATCAACACTTGGTACATTGGTGAAAACAGTAGACTTTTAGTAGTTAAAAAGTAAAAACAAAACAAAACAGAACTATAATCACTATTTAAAGTTTTTTTTCCTTGATGATTATTTATACTAAAATTTTGAATTAAGCACCTACTATGTACACATAATTATGACAAGAAAGAGAATTGAAACAAATGCAGGGATTATGGAGGATATTATAACCCCATAGTTGGCTCTAACTCTTACAATTTTTACTGCAGGTATGACCCAAAAGTGGACACATTAGAAAACAACAAAAACAGGATTTATTTACACCAAGAGTGTGATAAAGTGGGAGGGAGGAAGGGAGAAAGATTGATTTACAGGTCTGTCATACCTAGATATCATCTGCTGAGCAGAGACCAAGGTCCAAACTGAAACTACTTGACAAGCTGGCAGCTTCTCCATCAGCACCTCTCCTCATAGAAATTCAACTGCCAAAGCCCCAGTAGCTTAACTGTCCCAAAGCCAAGCAGTTTAATTGCTACCGGCCCCATCTCTGCCCCTATTTCCCTCAGCCCCAGCTGTAGAAAGCTCAGTCTCCGACCAGGAGTTTACTGTGACTGCTACCCATTCCTCACTGTTCCTCTTATATAACAGCACATATGATTTCTTGCCTGCAGGAACTTTTGGCCTCTGGCATATCAAGAACTAAAAATTACAATGAATTGTGGTAAAAGTTAGACTAGAGGTCAGTAAAAAGGCTTCCTAAGAAAATGCATACAATGTCAAAAGTTTCATTCCATACATAAGATAGTATTTCAATCCTTTGGGACTGAAAAAGAGCCAAATTGTCATCACTGAAAAGCTGAACCTTTGTGGCCTTAATAAGTGTAAAGTCACCACTAATTAAATCCCCAATAAGTTTGTCTCTTTATTTTTTAATCTCCCCACACATAGATTTTCATGAAAATACTCAGGGAATGTATTGATTAGTGAGTTGATCTCAGGTGTGATTAGCTTTCCAAAACTGAACTTTTGGCAGTAAAGACTGTTAGACTCTAGTTCCATCGCTCCATTTCCAAGGGTAGATTTTTTTGGTGATATCAAGTTATGTCTTTTCCAACTAATACCCCTAATCTTCTCTCTCATCAAGCTTGATACAGTCAAGAGAAATGCAGCCCATGTACCCCAAAGTTTCCCTGTGGTAATGCAACCCTCAATACAATAGGTGTGAACTCTAAACTAATTGCAGTATTACTTTAAAAGCAGTAAGAATTCCACAAAAACTGGCATTTTGTTGCACACAGTATCATGAGGAGAAACTAACTTTCTAAACTACTGTGACCCACCCTCATCCCAGCTGAAGCTCAGTAGCTGATCTTACATTAGAAGTAATTCCTCTCCTCTGGTTTCAATCCTTCTGTCCTCTTTCCACATAAGAATAACACATAAACCAAATAGGATAGAACTTTGTTTAATGATCCTACCTATTATTAATATGCAGTAATGTAATTTGTACTTTTATCTAAGAGAACCTTATTAAGTTCTTTATTGTCATTAATTTAGACTTACATAACTATAACGCTATATCTGAAGCTTTATTTTCCTCTTCTCTTTTCTCATAGGACACTTTGCTAAGATCAGAATAAAGCTATCCTATTTAATAAATATAATAATCTCAATAAATGCATTATAAAAAGAGGAATATATAGATCAATGTTATCTGATTTCAAGTTACTATGGTTTGGACACTGAACTGAAAACAGTTTAAAAAGTCAAGTACAGATGTTTTGGCATCCTAATACTTATTATTGAAATGTGCCTGCTCTACAGGTACCCACTGATTGCAATGATTTATTAAAGTTTTATAAGGGAAACCATGCTAAATAAAAAATGTATTACATGGATTTATCCCAAATTATTCAACTTATATTTATATTTGAAGTTATAAAGCTACTTAAATAAGCAATGGAATGAGTCTGGAAATTATTTAATGTAACATTGTATATTTTCCAGTTAGATTCATTCTTGCAGCCTTATGATATTTTCCAGATCCATCATAATTTACATATCACAGACATCCCGGGCAATTTTCAAACATTTTGTTTCATTCCTCATGCAATACATAGTAAATGCATCCCAATCAAGTGCCAGGTCTACTGTGGTGCTGTGATAAGCACAGGTGAAAAGGTGAGGGTGTCCTTGACATCAAGGAGTTTATATATCTGAAACTAATTTACATTTCATTGTTTTCCTATTAAACTTTTGATATACTTAATTTTTTCATATCCTTTGGTGCAAAAAACAAGTGAGGAGACAAGCTTTCATACATTAAAAAATTTGCAATATTGTGAATATGTCTAGAAACTCTACACTGCCCCCCCAATGTAATTGTTGTATGTACAAATGTTTAAAAAAGTCTAAAAATTTCAGGGAATTCAGATGTGTTCTATTTTGTAGTTTTTTGCTTTGAGTAGTAACATGCTTTCTTTAATGTATCCATTATGTAAAACATGCTATTTCAAATACTATTTATTACATAGTATCTCAAAAATGCTTCAAATAAGCATTACTAAAAACTATATATCCATTATTTTAAGTACAGATCATTTAAGCATAAAGGAAAAAAATAAGGCATAAGTCAATTTAATGAATGTAGCAATTTACACACTTACTTAAATAAGCAAGAGTTCACATAAATTAATTTTTAAGATAGATGTTTTCCTCTAAAGTAAGGTTATATGAAGACTCTATATGTTATCCATTGGCATGACAGGGCAGTAGCAAATATAACTCTTCAAAGGTTTCCTTTAGCCAATATAATTTGTAGTATAATGATTTTAAGAGACCCACTCACTGACTCTTTTGTTTTCCATTAGTGGAATCTGTGGATGGCTGATGCCTGAATAATTACTTTTCCTGAAAAATCATATTTAACTTTATTCTGGAATAACACATTTTATAGTTCATACATTTTACATTCTTGCTGCTACTTCCAAAATTGAGGTCTCGTCCCATAACTACACTGGTTTATTTACTGCAAATCAACCTACTCTAGCTACTGTTTTAGTTTTCTAAACACAGATTTGGTTTTCAGCTGAATCATGCAGACAGACTGCTATCTTCATAATGACACAGTGCAACATGACCTAGACTTTTGCTGGCTATATGAACTTTAGGCTTTTGTTGCCTTAGACCATACTCTCAATATAGCATCTACTTCCCAATACCCTTCTTTTGCAGAAGACTGGATATTAACTACCCAACCAATCAGTATCAAACTCAAGTGCCATTACTTGTGAGAAAACTCATAGTCTAACTGGATGTCCCTACCACACTATCTATTTGCTATCATTTTAGCATAACAGCTAAGAATAATATGACATGTTGCATTATAGTTAATTTTATGTGTTGTAATATTTACTCTACAGTTTCAATAATTGAGTCTATTGAACACCAGTCCCCAAAATACTATCCAGTAACTTTATGTTAAAGAATTGCTGAGTTATGTTTAACATATATTCAGTTATTTATAGTCTTTATAAGGCCAACACATATCTTAAAGAGAAATCAGAGCTCCCTTTCCATTACTATACACCTGCCCTATTGTTGTTTGGTTACTTGGTGGACTTGCGAACCTCAGGTGCCCAAGGTACACCTAACAACCTAAGACATAATGGACATTCACTACTGCAAAAAGTAGTAAACAGCCATGAGATAGTTATTGGCTATTTTTATTGGCTATTTTTTAGCCATTCAGGAAATAAGTGAGCTTTGTTATAAAATTTCTGATACTGAAAATATCTTCTTGTATTGAGAAGAAATTGGTATTCAATAATGATAAAATAAGTCAAGTTTACAGATTAGATTTTTGTCTACTTGCTTATTTCCATTTAATCTTTATATATATAACATAGTCAAAAACCTCAATGGCTATGTAGCACAATGAATTAAATCATCTGTGAAAAAAGACAAAATCCTGAAACATGTTTAAAAAGTATTAAAACATACTCATCATCTTAATTAACCAATGTAAAAATTTTCACTGTATTTTGCAAAGTACCTACCCTACTGTTTAATAGGAAAAACGTAGAAATTGAGTCCAAATGCCTAATTCTTTAAGAAATAAATCCCATTGAACATTAAGTGACACTGACATTTTTTTCTGGGAGTGCTAACACAAAGTTTTGATAAC